GGCGAAGGTTGGATCTGGGCAGAAGAGTATCCAAAAAACAGGCAGGTCCGGGGTCACAAAACCAGGGTGAGCCAGAGGCGCGAGCAAACAGGTTCCGGGTGTGAGCTTTGCAGACGATCTGACACCGGAGAGCTGAAAGACAGGGCCTTAAATACTGGGAGAGGTTAGTGGGTAATGCAGCGCAGCTGGCAGAGTAATTAGAGCCGAGCAGAGCAGGGACAGGTGGAGCTAGTTAGGCTGAGTAGAGAGAGAGTGGTGAGCAGAGTGGAAGATAGTGGAAACCAATTAAGGTGGTAACCCGGTGGAGTGAGAGGGCTCATGACAGTGTGCCTGTGAGATTGGTGACAGACCATTAGCTGGGTCATCTAAGGGGCATTTGCAACAGGGGCATGTGCAATGCGTGTTTCACTCCAAAGTCTCCCGAGTGCTGCTACTACTACATGTCTTGCAACATACTGTATGGCTGAATCCCAAATCACCCAATTCAACTCTGCCCTCCATTTGCACGTTCACCCGCGCCACCGTCATATGCACAAGTGTCACAAAGCTGAGGGAGTGAAAATGTGAGGGTTTAGGGGTTAATTAGACCCTCTAATAGCCACTTTGACCAAGGCTGCAGGCTCCAGAGCAAAGTGCTATCCCAACACGCACTGCAATATGTTTAGAGTTTGCGCAATTTCATACAAAATCATTGAGAGGTATGCTTAATTATATGATGTGCGTTTGTTTGTGACTGATTTCGAGACTTAACTAATTAAATGTTTAACTGTTACTGAGGTTTACATCTTGTAAAACAACGAGGGGATTTGTTTAACTGAATTTCATGCTGGTTTTATTATTTAAATGTGAACATGAATTGCATCATTCAAGTCACCAGTGTGTCCCGAAGTTGATGGGTTTATTGATCCCCTCGCCACTCTATGGAAGTCTCCATCGGTTGTCACTAGGGCCTTTTCTCGTTTGGGCAAGTCTGTCCTCTGCCCTCTCTCCTCTCTCCTCTCTCCTCCGTGACCCAGAAACGATAAGTGCTCAAGTGGTCGATAGCCTCCTTTTGGCGAGGAAGCACAAATGTAACCTACCTGAGTCTTTTGCGGAAGAGTTTTGAAATCTGCCACACCCCCTTTGAATCAGCTATTGTTTTCTCGAAGGAGAAAAGCATGCAAACATTTAAAAACGATATGCTACTTTCATCTATAAAATGTCTTGCACAACTAGCTAAATTTGTTTTTAATACTTTATAAATGTATTTTGGGATTCCACCCTGTAAACGTAATTTGCATGATGATGCGCGATTGGAGGAGTCTCATTTCATACGAGCACATTTTCGTCCATTTTCCCTCTCCTCGATTACCTTTGACCTTTTTCAAAAGGAGGCCTCAGAGAACGGAGGAGAGAGGATGCAGGAGTTGAACAAATCCAATTGAGAAAAGGCCTAGATGGTATACAGCTACGGGCGGAAGTTACTTTTCGTAGCAGGTTAGGACAGCGCATATAAGCCTGGGATATCAACCACTCAAAGTTGGCCTTAGTGGGAGTGACCATAGAATTCTATGGGAGTGACCTATTGAGTAAAGTATTTGTCGTCATTTAATTTTTGCGAATCACATGACTGAGGCGTGGCTCTGTGCTTGTGTTGTGCTAGCATGCGGGGAGGGTTAGCGGGAAGGTGTTGTGGGAGATGATTGGTTGGTAGATTAAGGCAATGCATACAGTATGCGCCGGGACTATTGGCTAAAGACGGCCAAGTTTGAGGCGTTGGTCCACCAGACACTTCGCACATTTGGGCAGAAGTATCTGGGAACGAGATTAACCCTAACCTGTTTCCTAACCTTAACCTAATTCTCCTTACCTGATACATTGAATTATCCTAACCTGCTGCGTAAATTCTCCTAACTTGCTACATAAAGTCACTTCCATCCGTAGCTGTATACCATCTAGTCAAAACCTTCCCCCAACCTTCAGAGTTTCGTCAGCAATACTTGATAACTAAGGGCCCGCTGAACGAGTTGGAAGGGGCGAGGGGCTGGTTTGGGATTCACTGTATGTATGTCATCACAGATTCTATTTACATTTGGACTATGTTGGTCACACCCATAGAGAATGATAGAGGCCTCTAGTGGCCAAAAGGCCGTATTAGCATTGGCCGAGCGATTGAAGGCTTCCACCATTTTAACGTTGTCAACTGGGTGGGACTTCCAACTTAATTGGCTGATCCCTCCTAGTGACCCTGTTGGAGTCATGTCCACCTTGGTCATCAGGAGGGATCAGACAATAGTGAAGAAGAGAATGTACTACTTTAAAATGGAGAAAGCATCAATGGCGCTGCCCATGCTGTCACAGACGCTATAATGGCACAGTTACCACTGTACGACACACCATACAGTGGTCGCGTTCCCCTGCTCAGACGTTGCATGCATCAACCAATGGTTGTGTGGCACGTCATCGACTGTCATCGACTGACAGATTGCTATAACATATGATGTGGTTAGCTGATACTTAAAATACCTATCATGCATCAGCAACGCCTGGGCAGAGGTACATGCCCAGAATTTTTACTAATTAAAATATTAATCATGCCCATACAAACTGTGCCATTGATAAAAGATCATGCAGATACAACTGAAATTGTGTTGGTAAAGTTAGATTTTCCAATACTTTTGTATACTTTTTAGCCAGTAGTTCTGAAAGTAGCACTCATGAGCCAAAAGTGGTCCATGAAAATTGTGTACCAGGTCACATATGTGCTCCACGTCATTGCACTCCCTCTCTCGCTGCTGTGTCCACTGAGCCCGCCCTGCAACCTCATTGGATAGCGCTGGACAGGCCTCTTGCTAGCCATCACTGAAATGCAAGGGTTGAAGCTCATAGGCTAGAACTAAAATTGCTAGGGAGCTGGCCCATGTGGGGGGGAAATGTAGGGTAAATGGCGCTGCACAGCTTCAAGAAAACAGTCGCTTTGATACTAGAGATTTCGTGGTTAATTGATAGTTTGAATGACTGAAATCCTTAAGTATACATATTTTAAGTTTTCAGTACAGTAGTCAATGGACCTAAAAACTCCGGGAAAGATACCAATAGGCCTGCTGATTAATATTTAACAACAACACTGGAATGGTAATGAACGTCGAGTTGAGTGCAGGAATTTTCTGATACGTTTTGAGGGAAATAAAGCAAATATGCTGCTTACCATTCCGTTGAAAGTTATTATTGCGCATTTCTTCTTTAGTTACATCTCGTGTTGTTCATTATGGGGAGATGTCCTGACTACTCCAGATATTCCAGCGATTGCCAAATATTTCACCACAAAAGGTAGATATGAGGAAGTGAACCCTTACCTCATAGATGACATACTGGCTGTAAACAAATCTCTTGTGAAGTCCCCATTTGCAGAATGTCGCGAAATTCATCTGACCGCTATCATACGGCACGGCTCAAGGTACCCGACGACGAAAAACATCAAGAAGATGCGAGAATTTCACAATCTTGTTGTACAGAAGGCCTCTGGAGAGGAGAGCTGGTTGCGTGAAATTAGGCAGTGGAAGATGTGGTACACTGATGAGATGGATGGCCGTCTCGTTCAGAAGGGAGTCCTCGACCACAGGAATTTGGCGGTCAGGTTGTCAAAGTTATTCCCATCATTGATATCTAAGGAGAAACTACAAGATGGTCACATCAAGTTCATGACCAGTTCTAAACACAGGTGTGTGAACAGCACCCTTTCTTTCCAGAGAGGACTGGCAAAACTATGGGATATTGAAGGTAGATATAATCCTACTCGACGTCTGTATAATAGCATCGTGTCAAAGTGCAAGTATGATGCATATAACTCTTGATTTATTTTTTGCAACTGTCACTAATTTGCAAGACATAAGGCCAATATATACTAAGTAGGTCAATGTTAGCTAGGTCCTAGCTGAGGAACGCTCAACTCCGTTCTTATATCGAGGCGGGGTTGAAGATCGAGAACTGGTCAATTTGCTAGCAACAGAGAGGAAGAGAGTGGCCCAAGTCGGCGGAAAATCTGTCTCCCTCCAGCAAGTGGCGTTTTTTCGTTTCGCCCACCAAGGGAGTTTTTGTATGGAGGTCAAATTTGGTCAACAAAAAAACAAATGACTTATTTGTGTGAGGTTTATTTGATCGAATAAAAGTGTCGTGCTTAAGTTGTTAAGCGTGTACTGATAAGGACACGTGACATCCCGGCAACTTTATGCACTTTATAGCAGAGTTGTCTCGAGATTGCTATGCATATTCATGGTATGAGGCTAGTAGCATAGCATCTCTCTCCATTGAATGGTGGCGGTTGAAATCAACAACCCTCATTGAATATTTAAAAAAGATTACAATAATGAGATGTATCCACCAATCCAAAGAAAGGATAGGCGGGAGCTAGAGAGCCCGCCGTGCCGCTTTGTGGACTCCCATTGTTAGGGTAGAGAGACGTAATCTTGACAGTATATCCATAATCTTTGCCAGCAACAACATCAATCGATACAAATGGTGCTTTCAAGACAACTGCGAACTCGGAAAAAAAAACGAGGTCAGATCATGACGTCTATGGTCTTCGGGTAGGGAAGTCAGAGTTCTAGAAAGATGCCCGACTTTCCGACTTGGAATTACGAGTTGGATGACTGTTCAAAAATAGTTGTCTTGAACGGATTGAATTCGGAAGTTGGATATTTCCGAGTTCCCAGTTGTTGTTTTGAACGTGGCATCCGCGTGAATCTCAGTGTATGTAGTACCTCAAGGCCGCTATGTCTACAGTTGAGCAACACAAATTAGGAACAAGTCAGTGGTTGTATTCAATAAAAGTTTTCATTAAAAGTATGAATTTCAGCACCCCACAGAAGGACCACAGTTGTACAGTTAAGCGTTTTCAGAATTGACATTTTTACAAGTATTTTTTTATTTAACCTTGTCACTGATGGTGACTCAATGTTGTTGGTAGTAAATCGCGTGACCAGTTATCAATACTAGAGAGAACAGAGTTTAGCTTTCCTCAGCTAGGCTGGTCCCAGATCTGTTTGTGCTTTTGCTTACTCCATTTGTCATTGGCAAGCTAAACAATTGACCTTTCGCTAAGCTCCGAGGTTACTGTTGCATCCTCGGACAACATGTTTATTTGTGATTTTTTTGTGTGTGTCATTTAGCAGAGGCTCTTATCCAGAGCGACTTACAGGAGCAATTAGGGTTAAGTGCCTTGCTCATGGGCACATCGACAGATTTTTTCACCTAGTCGGCTCGGGGATTAGAACCAGCGACCTTTCAGTTATTGGCACACCGCTCTTAACCACTAAGCTACCTGCCGCCCTATTCATCATGTTCCCGGGAAGCCCAATTCCCCTTTCTAACCACTGGCGAAATCCCCTCACAATGATTTGAAACTGTGTTTTTAATACACAATGAATATTGATAAAGTCACCGTGTCCTAGAGAGATTTACACGGTTATCAAAACGTCACGCCAGGGTAAGCCTACACGAAACACAGGCTTTATTTTAAGCGTTTCTAAAATCCCCTATGGGAAAAATTTAATGGTGGAAAAACGATTGGAACCATTTCCCTGTTTGACCGCTAGGTTTTATGGGTATTATGACTCATACTGTGGTACTCAATTGGAGCGCTGTGATTGGTTGCCCAAAATTCTGGGGCGGGGCTTAGCGAAGGGTCATATTATTTAGCATGACAATTCCATTAGGAGTTGCCAGGAAAGCAGAAACAGCACCCACGTTAGGTAAATGTAATACCGATATGACATTGCCATAATATGATATGCATGTCATAAGTGTACATTTTGCATGATATTGCATTGGCCTGCAGTCTTTTGGAAATGAAATGATTAACAATTCATCATGTCTTACTGTATAACAGGCAGGGTTATAATACTATCAATAACACACAAAAAAAACTTCTGAACTTGTCACTAGTTTTTAATTGGGGCTTTTCATTCACCTTAATATTATTATAATTTTCAAAACTTTGAAGATCTCCCTTTTGAATGACCAGTGTCTTCTATGTTTGATTCTAAAGATGAAGAGATTGACTATGAGGTGAACGACGCACTGATGAGGTTCTTTGACCACTGCACCAGGTTTGTGGAGACCGTCGACAAGAACCAGTCAGCCATGGCTGAGCTGGACAAGTTCAAGTCCAGTGCAGAGATGAGGAGGGTGCAGGAGAAGATAGCAGACCGGCTCCTGGTCCCCTACAGCCACATTACATCAGGTCTCCATCTCTAGCCGATCTGTCTCTATCTGTGTGTGTGCATACATTTGTGTGTGAGTTGTCACAGGACGTTGGGAAACGCGACAGCATTAGTAAAAAGTGTCTATTCTACAGTGGCTAGTACATATTTTATAGCTATTCTATTATTACTGAGAGGGCTATCCTCATGATGTCGCTCATGTTCTCTATACAATGAACGGATCTGCTTCAGATCTGCTTGATTGCAAAAACAATTACAGGATATTTAGACACTACATTTTACATTTACATTTTAGTCATTTAGCAGACGCTCTTATCCAGAGCGACTTACAGGAGCAATTAGGGTTAAGTGCGTTGCTCAAGGGCACATCGACAGATTTTTCACCTAGTCGGCTCGGGGATTAGAACCAGCGACCTTTCGGTTACTGGCACAACGCTCTTAACCACTAAGCTACCTGCCGCCCCAATTCTGATAAAACCATTCAGTTAAACACTAGATGGGGCTGTTTTCTCACTAACAGTACAAAACAGTTAAACACTCCCCTATACAATTCCCTCAACTGAATGGTTTTATCAGAATGTCATCAATGAGCAGCTGAGAAGTGAGGACATTGAAATAAGAATAACTGTATGTTTATTTTATTTGAAAAGTAAAACAAAGTGGAAAATATGTTGTTAATGCTAAGCCATACAGGACTTTTATGTTGTTTTATATCAAAGTACAGACATGGTCACTGGTCTGTAATAATTATTTACATTTTGACATGGAATGGCGGCAGATAGCCTAGAGGTTAAGAGTGTTGGGCAAGTAACCAAAAGGTCGCTGGTTCGAATCCCCAGGCCGACAAGGTGAAAAATCTGTCTGTGCCCTTGAACAAGGCACTTAAAGGTCCAATGGAGCTGTTTTTATCTCAATATCAAATCATTTCTGGGTAACAATTAAGTACCTTACTGTGATTGTATTTAGAGCCAGAGCGATATGTTTTATGTGGTCCAATATGATTCCTATATTTGGGGGGGGGGGGGGGGGTCAAAACGTACCGATACTGATATATCTACCGATATACTGTTTTACAGTGGGGAAATGAAAGTGTAATTTTTCCACACTGAATTCTCATACATTGTCATCCAAAAGAGCAATTGTCCAATAACTATGCTTCAAATATTGATTTCATACATTGTGACAATAATGGCACATCATGACAATGGCCGCAAGTGTTCAGATACAGTGCCTTCAGAAAGTATTCATACCCCTTGACTTATTCCACATTTTGTTGTGTTACAGCCTGAATTCAAAATTGATTAAATTAAATAAAACATCTCACCAATCTACACACAATACCTCACAATGACAAAGCGAAAACATGTTTTTAGACTTTTTGCTAATTTATTGAAAATAAAATACAGAAATATCTCATTTACATAAGTATTCACACCCCTGAGTCAATACTTTGTAGACGCACCTTTGGCAGCGATTACAGCTGTTAGTCTTTCTGGGTAAGTCTCTAAGAGCTTTGCAAACCTGGATTGTACAATATTTGCACATTATTCATTTAAAAATTCTTCAAGCTCTGTCAAATTGGTTGTTGATGAATGTTAGAAACCAATTTTCAGGTCTTGCCATAGATTTCCATGTAGATTTAAGTCAAAACTGTAACTCGGCCACTCGGGAACATTCAGTGTCTTCTTGGTAAGCAATTCCAGGGTAGATTTGGCCTTGTGTTTTAGCTTATTGTCCTGCTGAAAGGTGAATTCATCTCCCAGTGTCTGGTGGAAAGCAGACTGAACCAGGTTTTCCTCTAGGATTTTGCCTGTGCTCAGCTCCATTCCATATTTTCTTTCTTTTTCTGACAACTCCCCAGTCCTTAACGATTACAAGCAAACCCATAACGTGATGCAGCCATCACCATCCTTGATCACTATCCTTGCTTTTTTTTTTTTACCCATCTACCAATAGGTGCCCTTCTTTGCGAGGCATTGGAAAACCTCCCTGGTCTTTGTGGTTGAATCTGTGTTTGAAAATCGCTGTTCGACTGAGGGACCTTACAGATAATTGAATGTGTGGGGTACTGAGATGAGGTAGTCATTCAAAAATCATGTTCTACACTATTAGTCCATGCATCTTATTATGTGACTTGTTAAGTACATTTTTACTCTTGAACTTATTTAGGCTTGCCATTACAAAGGGGTTGAATACTTATTGACTGAAGACATTTCAGCTTTTCATGTTCAATTCATTTGTAAAACATTTCGAAAAACATTATTCCACTTTCACATTATATGGTATTGTGTGAAGGCCAGTGACACTAAAAGGCCGTTATCATAATTTTCACAGTATTATTCCAACCTCATAGTGTGGATATATATTTGAGCTGGGTGATATAGACAAAAATCCACATCGCGATAAATTGCCTGAACTGATGCGATAACAATAAATAGGACGATAAGTTAATAACATGAATGTGCACCACAGTTTAAAAACAAATATCCTTTAAACTACTACTAGTAGTTTGATGGTTGTAGCTATCAATTGTCCCATTAACAATCACCCATATTAGCAAACTTATTTCATTTCATACTTCACATTATCGTCATGAACGATGTCAGCAAAATGCCTGTGATATGTGGTCGGTGTCGATCATTTTCGGTTTATTGTCCCAGCTCTAAAATACACTACATGACCAAAAGTATGTGGACACCTGCTCGTCGAACCACTCATTCCAAAATACGGGCATTCATTTGGAGTTGGTCCCCCCTTTGCTGCTGTAACAGCCTCCACTCTTCTGGGAAGCTTTGCACTAGATGTTGGAACATTGCTACTGGGACTTGCTTTCATTCAGCCATGAGCATTAGTGAGGTCGGGCACTGATGTTGGGTGGTTAGGCCTAGCTCGCAGTCGGCATTCCAATTGAGGTCAGGGTTCTGTGCAGGCCAGTCAAGTTCTTCCACACCGATCTTGACAAACCATTTCTGTATGGACCTCGCTTTGTGCACAGGGGCATTGTCATGCTGAAACAGGAAAGGTCCTTCCCCAAACTGTTGCCACAAAGTTGGAAGCACAGAATCGTCTAGAATGTCATTGTATGCTGTAGCGTTAAGGTCTCCCTTCACTGGAACTAAGGGGCCTAGCTCAAACCATAAACAGTCTCAGATCATTATTCCTCCTCCACCAAACTTTACAGTTGGCACTATGCATTGTTCTCCTGGCATCCGCCAAACTCAGATTTGTCCGTTGGACTGCCAGATGGTGAAGTGTGATTCCTCATTCCAGAGAACGCGTTTCCACTGCTCCAATGGTGTTGAGCATTACATCACTCCAGCCGATGCTTGCCATTGGCGCATGGTGATCTTAGACTTGTGTGCTGCTGCTCGGCCATGGAAACCCATTTCATGAAGCTCCCAACAAACATTTTTTTTACGCACTTCAGCACTCGGCGGTCCCGTTCTGTGAGCTTGTGTGGCTGAAAAAGCTGAATCCACTAATTTGAAGGGGTATCCACATACTTTTGTATATGTATGTATGTATGTATACACTACCGGTCAAAAGTTTTAGAACACCTACTCATTCAAGGGTTTTTCTTTATTTTTACAATTTTCTACATTGTAGAATAATAGGAAAGACATCAAAACTATGAAATAACACATATGGAATCATGTAGTAAACAAAAGTGTTATAAAATATATTTTGATTTGTTTATTTGAGATTCTTGAAATAGCCACCCTTTGCTTTGATGACAGCTTTGCACACTCTTGGCATTCTCTCAACCAGCTTCACCTGGAATGCTTTTACAGCAGTCTTGAAGGAGTTCCCACATATGCTGAGCACTTGTTGGCTGCTTTTCCTTCACTCTGCCGTCCGACTCATCCCAAACCATCTCAATTGGGTTGAGGTTGGGGGATTGTGGAGGCCAGGTCATCTGATGCAGAACTCTATCACTCTACTTCTTGGTAAAATAGCCCTTACACAGCCTGGAGGTGTGTTGGGTCATTGTCCTGTTGAAAAACAAATGATCGTACCACTAAGCCCAAACCAGATGGGATGGTGTATCACTGCAGAATGCTGTGGTAGCCATGCTGGTTAAGTGTGCCTTGAATTCTAAATAAATCACAGTGTCACCTGCGAAGCACCCCCACACCATAACACCTCCTCCTCCATGCTTTACAGTGGGAAATACATATGCAGAGATCATCCGTTCACCCACACAGCGTCTCACAAAGACACGGCGGTTGGAACAAAAAAATCTCCCATTTGGACTCCAGACCAAAGGACAAATTTCCACCGGTCTAATGTCCATTGCTCATGTTTCTTGGCCCAAGCAAGTCTCTTCTTCTTATTGGTGGCTTTTGGTCGTGGATTCTTTGCAGCAATTCGACCATGAAGGCCAGATTCCCACAGTCTCCTCTGAACAGTTGATGTTGAGATGTGTCTGTTACTTGAACTCTGTGAAGCATTTATTTGGGCTGCAATTTCTGAGGCTGGTAACTCTAATGAACTTATCCTCTGCAGCAGAGGTAACTCTGGGTCTTCCATTCCTGTGGCAGTCCTCATGAGAGCCAGTTTCATCATAGCGCTTGATGGTTTCTGCGACTGCACTTGAAGGAACTTTTTAAAGTTCTTGAAATGTTCCGTATTGACTGTTGTTTCTCTTTGCTTATTTGAGCTGTTTTTGCCATAATATTACATTTTACATTTACATCATTTAGCAACCACCCTTTTTTCATGGGGGGTGGGGGAAGAAGGATTACTTTATACTATTCCAGGTATTCCTTAAAGAGGTAGGGTTTCAAGTGTCTCCGGAAGGTGGTCAGTGACTCCGCTGTCCTGGCGTCGTGGGGGAGCTTGTTCCACCATTGGGGTGCCAGAGCAGCGAATAGCTTTGAATGGGCTGAGCGGGAACTGTGCTTCCGTAGAGGTAGGGGAGCTAGCAGGCCAGAGGTGGATGAACATAATATGGACTTGGTCTTTTACCAAATAGGGCTATCTTCTGTATACCCTCCCTACCTTGTCACAACACAACTGATTGGCTCAAACGCATTAAGACGGAAAGAAATTCCACATATTAACTTTTAAGAAGGCACACCTGTTAATTATAATGCATTCTAGGTGACTACCTCATGAAGCTGGTTGAGAGAATGCCAAGAGTGTGCAAAGCTGTCATCAAAGCAAAGGGTTGCTATTTGAAGAATCTCAAATATAAAATATATTTTGATTTGTTTAACACTTTTTTTTGCTTACTATATGATTCCATATGTGTTATTTCATAGTTTTGATGTTTTCACTATTATTCTACAATGTAGAACATTGTAAAAATAAAGAAAAACCCTTGAATGAGTAGGTGTTCTAAAACTTTTGACCGGTAGTGTGTGTGTGTTTATATAAATGTATGTATATATAACACATGAAAGTCCCATTTTTGACTGCACTGTGCCTTTATCCCAAATTGTGCCGTAAGTCGCTCTGGATAAGAGTGTCTGCTAAATGACTAAAATGTGATGGCTCCTGTGATCACTTTGCCATTACTTTCCCCCCTGTAGACATGGCTGAGGCTGCATTTCACCTGTGTGCTTACGAGTTGGCCATCAAAACCATCAACTCCCCCTGGTGTCAACTCTTTGATGAGGCGGATGCTCTGGTACGTCAACTGTATTCCCTGCAGTAGTAATAATTTTACATCATTGCGGAGTGTTGACCAGTTCAAGTGATAATAGAGCCATTGATTATTTATGGGGACATCTATTTTTTAAGCAGTGATCAAATATGTTGAAGTTCATTAATATTGGATGCATCTAGCCTTACTAGTGTCTAACTAGTAATCCATTGACCTTATTTTTTTATGTCATCAAGTGTTTTTGCTGATAGGACGTTCATCTAAAACGTGATGAATGTATTATTTACAATATCCTCACCTAATCTACAATATGAATAGATGTCTTGTATTCAGTCAATAAGCAGTTGGGCTATGTGGGTGTATCCTGTGTTCTAAGGTAAGCTGGCCCAGCTCTCAGGTGGCCTAACTGAAATCCTGCCACGACTCTACACAATGAGACATTGTCTGAGGGCATCACTCACCCAAGTATTCACACAAAGCCTACCCTACATTCCATGGTATACAGTCCATTCGGAAAGTATTCAGACCCCTTGACTTTTTCCACATTTTGTTACGTTACAAACTTATTTTAAAATTGATTAAATATGTTTTTTCTCATCAATCTACACACTACCCCATAATGACAAAGCGAAAACAGGTTTTTAGAAATGTGTGCAAATGTATTAAAAATAAAAAACATAACTACCTTATTTACATAAGTATTCATAAGACATACAGTACCAGTCAAAAGTTTGGACACACCTACTCATTCAAGGGTTTAGATTTATTTTTTTACTATTTTCTACATTGTAGCATAATAGTGAAGACATCAAAACTATGAAAAACACATAACACACAATAGATTTTAGATTCTTCAAAGTAGCCACCCTTTGCCTTGATGACAGCTTTGCACACTCTTGGCATTCACTCAATCAGCTTCATGAGGTAGTCACCTGGAATGGATTTCATTTAACAGGTGTGCCTTGTTAAAAGTTAATTTGTGAAATGTATTTCCTTCTTAATGCGTTAGAGCCAATCAGTTGTGTTCTGATAAGGTAGGGGTGGTATACAGAAGATAGCCCTATTCGGTAAAAGACCAAGTCCATATTATTGCAAGAACAGCTCAAATAAGCAAAGAGAAACGACAGTCAATCATTACTTTAAGACATGAAGGTCAGTCAATCCAGAAAATTTCAAGAACTTTTAAAGTTTCTTCAAATGCAGTCGCAAAAACCAAGCGCTATGATGAAACTGGCTCTCATGAGAACCGCCACAGGAAAGGAAGACCCAGAGTTACCTCTGCTGCAGAGGTTAAGTTCATTAGAGTTAACTGCACCTCAGATTGCAGCCCAAATAAATGCTTCACAGAGTTGAGGTAACAGACACATCAACATCAACTGTTCAGAGGAGACTGTGAATCAGGCCTTCAAGATCGAATTGCTGAAAAGAAACACACTACTAAAAAGGACACCAATAAGAAGAGACTTGCTTGGGCCAAGAAACACGAGCAATGGACATTAGACCGGTGGAAATCTGTCCTTTGGTCTGATGAGTCCAAATTTGAGATTTTTGGTTCCAACCGCCGTGTCTTTGTGAGACGCAGAGTAGGTGAATGGATGATCTCCGCATGTGTGGTTCCCACCGTGAAGCATGGAGGAAGTGTGATGGTACTTTGCTGGTGACACTGTCTGTGATTTATTTAGAATTCAAGGCACGATGATCCAGAGGAGGAATGGGAGAAGGTCATGTGGTCTGATGAGACAAAAATAGAGCTTTTTGGTCTAAACTCCACTCGCCGTGTTTGGAGGAAGAAGAAGGATGAGTACAACCCCAAGAACACCATCCCAATCGTGAAGCATTGAGGTGGAAACATCATTCTTTGGGGATGCTTTTCTGCAAAGGGGACAGGACGACTGCACCGTATTGAGGGGAGGATGGATGGGGCCATGTATCGCGAGATCTTGGCCAACAACCTCCTTCCCTCAGTAAGAGCATTGAAGATGGGTCGTGGCTGGGTCTTCCAGCATGACAACAACCCAAAACACACAGCCAGGGCAACTAAGGAGTGGCTCCGTAAGAAGCATCTCAAGGTCCTGGAGTGGCCTAGCCAGTCTCCAGACCTGAACCCAATAGAAAATCTTTGGAGGGAGCTGAAAGTCCGTATTGCCCAGCAACATCCCCGAAACCTGAAGGATCTAGAGAAGGTCTGTATGGAGGAGTGGGCCAAAATCCCTGCTACAGTGTGTGCTAACCTGGTCAAGACCTACAGGAAACGTATGATCTCTGTAATTGCAAACAAAGGTTTCTGTACCAAATATTAAGTTCTGATTGTCTGATGTATCAAATACTTATGCAATAAAATGCAAATGAATTACTTAAAAATCATACAATGTGATTTTCTGGATTTTTTAAGTGTACCTATGATAAAAATTACAGACCTCTACATGCTTTGTAAGTAGGAAAACCTGCAAAATCGGCAGTGTATCAAATACTTGTTCTCCCCAATGTACATAAGACCCTTTGCTATGAGTCTCGAAATTGAGCTTCGGTGCATCCTGTGGTAAATTTAATTGATTGGACATGATTTGGAAAGGCACACACCTGTCTATATAAGGTCCCACAGTTGACAGTGCATGTCAGAGCAAAAACCAAGCCATGAGGACGAAGCAATTGTCCGTAGAGCTCCGAAACAGGATTGTGTCGAGGCACAGATCTGGAGAAGGGTACCAAAAAATGTCTACAGCATTGAAGGTCCCCAAGAACACCGTGGCCTCCATCATTCTTAAATGGAAGAAGTTTGGAACCACCAAGCCTCTTCCTAGAGCTTGCCGCCCGGCCAAACTGAGCAATCGGGGGAGAAGGGCCTTGGTCAGGGAGGTGACCAAGAACCCGATGGTCACTCTAACAGAGCTCCAGAGTTCCTCTGTGGAGATGGGAGAACCTTCCAGAAGGACAACCATCTCTGCAGTAGAGTGGCCAGACAGAAGCCACTCCTCAGTAAAAGCCACATGTCAGCCTGTGTGGAGTTTGCCAAAATTCACCTAAGGACTCTCAGACCATGAGAAACAAGATTCTCTGGTCAGTTGAAACCAAGATTGAACTCTTTGGCCTGATTGCCAAGCATCACGTCTGGAGGAAACCTGGAACCGTCGCTACGGTGAAGCATGGTGGTGTTTTTCAGCGACTGGGAGACTAGTCGGGATCAAGGAAAAGATTAATGGAGCAAAGTACAGAGAGATCCTTGATGAAAATCTGCTCCTGAGCGCTCAGGACCTCAGACTTGGGCGACGGTTCACCTTCCAACAGGACAACGACCCTAAGCACACAGCCAAGACAACGCAGGAGTTGCTTCGAGACAAGTCTCTGAATGTCCTTGAGTGGCCTAGCCAGAGCCCGGACTTGAACCCGATCAAACATCTCTGGAGAGACCTGAAAATAGCTGTGCAGCGACACTCCCCATCCAACCTGACAGAGCTTGAGAGGATCTGCAGAGAAGAATGGGATAAACTTCCCAAATACAGGTGTGCCAAGCTTGTAGCATCATACCCAAGAAGACTCGAGGCTGTAATCACTGCCAAAAGTGCTTCAACAAAGTACTGAGTAAAGGGTCTTAATACTTATGTGAATGTGATATTTCCGGGGGGTTTTTGGTTGTAATAACTTTGCAATTATTTATAAAAAACAATTTTTGCTTTGTCATTATGGGGTATTGTGTTTAGATTGATTAGTGGGAAAAAAAACTATTGAATCCATTTTAGAATAAGTCTGTAACGTAACAAAATGTGGAAAAAGTCAAGGGGTCTGAATACTTTCTGAATGCACTGTACTTACACAGCAATTACCCCACTAACAGGTTATTGAATATGGAAACTATCTAATGTGGTATTCACACAAAGCCTACACCATTTAATTCCATGGTATACTTACACTGCACTTACCTCACAAACAGGTTCTGGAATATGCAAATGACCTGAAGCAGTTCTGGAAAAGAGGTTATGGTCATGACATCAACAGCAAGTCGAGCTGCATTCTCTTTCATGATGTATTCAGCCGTCTGGATAGAGCGGCCAATGAGATCAGGTGAGTGACTGGTTAGCCTCGTATCAGGCTTCATGTCAATCACCAGCATAGCAAACAGATTAAAAGTGGATGGCCTTTGGGTAAAAATGAAACTAATGTAAAAAAAAATAAATGTACAAAAATGTTAGGCTATATGTGTTTTAAAAGGACTGGACAATCCAAAATCAAAGTTTGTCAGACGTTTTTAAACCCCAAATGTTGTATAATGTCAACATGAATTCTTGTCCCACGCCATTGATTGTGTAGGTCCGTGCCTGTATCCCACAAGATTGGAAAAAAATAAGCACCGAATAAAATCAGAAAATTATAGCACTTATCTTTTCCATTCATTCCATTCTGCTCAACAGATGTCTGGGATGTGGACCTATCTCAATATAATACCACTTTGCCTGGGGCTGCGGTAGCCTTGAGGTTGCCTTTGTGTTGTTGTGCCCTTGAGCAAGGCACTTATCCCCTAACCTGCTCCATGGATGCTGCTCTGTGGCTGACCCTGTGCTGCTTCCAGCCTCTTGTGAGTGTCTGGGTGGTGTCTGGGTTGTTGGGGGAAAAAACAAGACTGCGAAAAGAGACATGTATGTTTAACAATGGACCAAAAATTCTAGTTGTATTGTACTTGAGTTCTGAAACTTTGTTTTTGGAGTGAACTGTCCTTTTTAAGGGGTACTTACAAAACCAATTTAGGACTAAACAGTAATATTATACAAACAACCGCCCGGTACAGTATCTATTGCAAATGTTAGAAAATAACCTGTCAACGTGGCAATAGAATAGGACACATGAACCTTCATGTTTGCACCCTGTTTCCTGTTATACATCCTAGTTTAGCCAAGTCCTCGAACTGTCGCTGTCATATACATGATATTGAGAGGAGTTGGCCAAAGCGCATACATATGGGGGTAGGGTTATGGGCAATCCACATCCCACATTGTTCAATACCCATTATAGGGTTATAATGAACAATACAATTACCAATCCATAGCAGCTCATCACAGAAGTTTACAGACCTTTTTGTCTGGTCTGGATCCTGTTGTGTGAGGGTGTGTGTGTGTGTGCCTTGTGACAATTGTATTCTGTGGATCACGCACCACACCCACACGTCAATACACATTGCTGTTACAGAATTAATGTGTCTGTCATGCTGTGTTGCACGCACAGTGCGTGTAGCAGCACATCTGATCATAGAACTCATAAGAATATGAATCTGAGAATTTATTTGATTTTCTTTTTCAAATAAAGTGCATTGATGAACCTGCAGCATAATCTCATGGTTTCTTGTCAGTCAGTGGAACACTGTAGGGGAGAGTGGGGTAAATGGAGACATTTTTTTACATTCCGCCTCACTATGTGAAGGGAAATATAGTATTCTTTCTAACAGATATCTACATATTTTTCAGGATGTTGTGTATCCCTGAAAATAATAAAAAATGAATAAAAACATAACAGTTTGGAAAACAGTTTGTCCCAAAAAAAGTATTCTCTTGGCACAACTTACCCCGGGGGTATGGGGTAAATTTAGCATAGGGGCAGGGTAAGTTGAGCTACCTTGGGGTAAGTGGGTGCTGGTGTCCCGTGACAGTGGGTGATGGTGCTAGTAGGTCATAGAATGGGGGTGTGGTATATTGTATATCTTAAATGTATGTCTGCATTCAGATATACAGTGAGGGGAAAAAAGTATTTGATCCCCTGCTGATTATGTACGTTTGCCCACTGACAAAGAAATTATCAGTCTATAATTTTAATGGTAGGTTAATTTGAACAGTGTGAGACAGAATAACAACAAAAAAATCCAGAAAAACTTGTCAAAAATGTTATAAATTGATTAGCATTTTAATGAGGGAAATAAGTATTTGACCCCCTTTCAATCAGAAAGATTTCTGGCTCCCAGGTGTCTTTTATACAGGTAACGAGCTGAGATTAGAAGCACACTCTTAAAGGGAGTGCTCCTAATCTCAGTTTGTTACCTGTATAAAAGACACCTGTCCACAGAAGCAATCAATCAATCCGATTCCAAACTCTCCACCATGGCCAAGACCAAAGAGCTCTCCAAGGATGTCAGGGACAAGATTGTAGACCTACACAAGGCTGGAATGGGCTACAAGACCATCGCCAAGCAGCTTGGTGAGAAGGTGACAACAGTTGGTGCGATTATTCGCAAATGGAAGAAACACAAAAGAACTGTCAATCTCCCTCGGCCTGGGGCTCCATGCAAGATCTCACCTCGTGGAGTTGCAATGATCATAAGAACGGTTAGGAATCAACCCAGAACTACACAGGAGGGTCTTGTCAATGATCTCAAGACAGCTGGGACCACAGTCACCAAGAAAACAATTGGTAATACAATACGCCGTGAAGGACTGAAATCCTGCAGCGCCCGCAAGGTCCCCCTGCTCAAGAAAGCACATATACATGCCCGTCTGAAGTTTGCCAATGAACATCTGAATGATTCAGAGGAGAACTGGGTGAAAGTGTTGTGGTCAGATTAATCCAAAATGGAGCTCTTTGGCATCAACTCAACTCGCCGTGTTTGGAGGAGGAGGAATGCTGCCTATGACCCTAAGAACACCATCCCCACCATCAAACATGGAGGTGGAAACAGTATGCTTTGGAGGTGTTTTTCTGCTAAGGGGACAGGACAACTTCACCGCAACAAAGGGACGATGGACAGGGCCATGTACCGTCAAATCTTGGGTGAGAACCTCCTTCCCTCAGCCAGGGCATTGAAAATGGGTCGTGAATGGGTATTCCAGCATGACAATGACCCAAAACACACGGCCAAGGCAACAAAGGAGTCGCTCAAGAAGAAGCACATTAAGGTCCTGGAGTTGCCTAGCCAGTCTCCAGACCTTAATCCCATAGAAAATCTGTGGAGGGAGCTGAAGGTTCGAGTTGCCAAACGTCAGCCTCGAAACCTTTGACTTGGAGAAGATGTGTGCAAACCTGGTGGCCAACTACAAGAAACGTCTGACCTCTGTGATTGCCAACAAGGGTTTTGCCACCAAGTACTAAGTCATGTTTTGTAGAGGGGTCAAATACTTATTTCCCTCATTAAAATGCAAATCAATGTATAACATTTTTGACATGGGTTTTTCTGGATTTTGTTGTTGTTATTCTGTCTCTCACTGTTCAAATAAACCTACCATTAAAATTATAGACTGATCATTTCTTTGTCAGTGGGCAAACTTACAAAATCAGCAGGGGATCAAATACTTTTTTCCCTCACTGTAGATCGCTGTTCAATATCACTTAAATCAAATCAAATCAAATGTTATTTGCCAAATGCGTCGAATACAACAGGTGTAGACCTTACAGTGAAATACTTACTTACAAGCCCTTAACCAACAATGCAGTTTTAAGAAAATAAAAAAAGTGTTAAGTAAAAAATAAAAATAGCACTTGTCTGGGGCAGGGATTTTGTTTCGATGTGCCTATTCGTAGGCAAGTTCTCTGCATTTGAGGTTACTAAGCCCATGAAACTGGTCTGTGAAATTCTTGATATTTTTAGCAAGCTCAGACTCCATGTCATCAGATAAGACCGTTTGTTTGTTTGTATACCCAGGGCACGATGTCTGCTTTGTAACAATACAGATTTTGTTCATATGCATGACACATTGCAAAAATACTATGCATATTATGCATAAAACTGACAATATAATCATCATTTCTATGGGGTATGGTGGCCAATGGCTCAACTCACCCTATAGCCATTGGCTCAACTTACCCCAAGGCAAACATTTGGACTACATAACCCACACAGCTACAAGGATGCACTTTCGTGCTAGGTTTAATAAATTCATTTGACTTTCTGAAAATCAGTTTTTTGGACCTAACTTGCGGTTTCTTCCTTCAGACTCCATGAAATGATGACCACATTGGCAAAGGGGAAAAGCTTGCATTTAGTACAGGGCAACATACAGGGTCAACATGTTTTCTAAAACCATGCGGTCAATTCCTGCATTCCATACATAAATACAAACAGTACAAAACTGTTCTCAACTGACACCCCCTTGAGTATATGTAGACTAGTGTATGACAACTAGTGTTTGCAATTCAATGCCTCTGGTCAAGCAAGTTCTTGTTCACTTGCATACCACATTGTTCTGGCGCAAATAAATAATTACCCTCCTGAAGTATACATGTCCCATCCTGTCTCTCAGATCTGGCAGTAACGTCACAGAAGCAGCGACCATCCAGGTGGGTCACGCTGACACTCTCCTGCCTTTGCTGACCCTGCTGGGTTTCTTCAAGGACAGCGTGCCCCTGACCTCCAACAACTATGTCACCCAGGGCCAGCGTGCCTTCCGCACCAGTCGCATGATGCCCTACGCTGCCAACCTGGTCCTTGTGCTGTATGACTGCAGTGGAAACCTCCGTCTGCAGGCACTGCTCAACGAGCGGCCCCTGGCCTTCCCAGGCCTGGCCGCCACCCAGGGAGAGGAGGGAGCCCCGCTCTACCAGGATGTCAGAGACCACTACGGGGAACTGCTCCAGGGCTGCGACTTTGAGAAGGAGTGCCAACTGTTCCCATCCAAATGAGGGAGTCAACGCTATCAACAGGTGTCATTCATCAGTAAAGTGTGTCTCTGATATGTAATCAAATCAAAGTTTATTGTTCGCATACACAGATTTGCAAGTGTTATAACAGGTGCAGCGAAATGCTTATGTTACTAGCTCCAACAGTGCAGTAGAATGTCTCATAAATACCCAAATAATCAATATTTGATATGATATTATAGATATGTTTAGACCAATGTGGTGAGCTGCTGTGGTAGAGCTCCACTTTATTCCTATGGCTAGATAATTTTATTGAGTGTGAAATGTGTCTGTGCAAAGTGTATCCTGTGCACAATGTTGGAATGGAATTATGATTCACTCTGTTCAAGGCCACGACATCAGTTTATTCAAATGTATGGTAGTATTAGAGACACGAAACAGATGAATCGAACCAAATGTACCAATTGAGATCCAGTGGAGGCTGCTGAGGGGAGGACGGCTCATAATAATGGCTGGAATGGAGTGCATGGAATGGCATTAAACACATGGAAACCATGTGTTTAATGTATTTGATACCATTCCACCAATTCCACTCCAGCCATTACCACGAGCCCGTCCTCCCCAATTAAGGTGCCACCAACCTCCTGTGTTGAGATCATTCCACCAAAAGTGCTCTGACTGGTGAGAGGCCTCCAGCCCGGGTATTGCATTTAATGTAAGCGTGCCGCTGCTACCACTACTGAAGTATTACTAGAATCCATCAAATCGAACGGGATACAGCTTATGACCAAAGATGACACAGTTACATAGTAGGTGATACACTGCCCCTCTCCAGAAACGCCTATCCTCCATGTACTTGTGTAGACCTGTGAAAAATGCATAGGTGTAGTCATTATTTTTATGAAGTGGTGATACTACCATGTTTCGTATTGTGGGGGTATAGGCCAGAAGTGTTTTTTCTGGACAGGGACTATGTAGCTTAGATAATGGCCTGCTACTAGACGTTACAGAAGTTAGGCCTACACATTTTTCTAATACTGTATAACTTGATTATTATTAAAGTATAATTTGAACTACACAGGCTAGTTTGTTATTTTGTTAACTTTTGAATTGGAAGTGTGAATGGTGACTTGTGAATGGTTGTCCTTTTCTTTGCAATGTAGGAAAATGAATGCCAAATTATTTACATTTAAATTTATTAAAATGTATTTCATTTTCAGTCAGACATCAGGGGCGAAGTTTTACCATTGTGTGATTGTTCTTTAGTTGGTTTGCACTCAATTTTATAAAAACACTGCATAAGAATAGTCTGGTTGACTTCTATTTTTGCAATTTAACCCTATGTAAATTCACCGGTTCCGAAGCTCAGCCCCGCACTGTCCTGATCTCGATACATTGGTTGGTATTCAGGAATATGCAGATTTCTGAGCCCTGGAGGAGGATTGTAGGCTGGGCCAGTGGAATGCTACGTGTCTTCGAGGTCTTTCAAAAGCCCTTGTTCTTCGATGACTATAGTCAAAGTTGTCAAGTAACCCAAGCGAGGCGACACGTTCCTACCCCCTATTGGCATTTATACTCCGGGTCCACAGTCCATTGGGGTTAACCTTAGCCTAGTGCACGATGTCGGGTGTCAAAAAGCAGCAGACGGTAAGATATGCATATACTTATTTGAAACATCATATTCGAATATAAAATGTATTTTGAAAATTTCTAATAGCATAAGCAGGTATAGAAATGTTTGTAGCCTAGGCAGCGGATAGTGCTAGAGCTGCCGAGGCTAGAAATGTACCCTCAAGCATGTTGAAAATGATTCCTGTATGGTGCGCTTTGGGTGACCTTTTATATGGGTATTTCGTCAACTAACTACAGCTGCATTCTAATTAAAATATGTTCCTGATAAGTTACATAATAGCAATTATGTGGATAAAGTGCTGGACATGTTTGTTCACAATCTTTGCTTCATCAAACAATGGTTAGAAGTCTGATACGATCAGCGCTGTCACTGTTGATGTTGAAGTAGGCTACTTTCAAGTTTTCACTATTGTGGTAGGAAATTGGATTGATTTGATTTGACATAGGCAGTGGTGAAAAAAGTACCCAATTGTCATTCTTGAGTAAAAGTAAAGATACCTTAATAAAAAATGACTCAAGTAAATGTAAAAGTCACCCAGTAAAATACGACTTGCGTAAAAGTCTAAAAGTATTTGGTTTTCAATATACTTAAGTATCAAAAGTAAATATAATTGCTAAAATATATGTAAGTATCAAAAGTAAAATGACAATTTTAAATTCCTTATATTAAGCAAACCAGACGGCACAATTTTCTATTTTTTTTTTTTTTAATTTACGGATAGCCAGGGGAACACTCCAACACTCAGACATACATTTAACAAACAAAGCATTTGTGTTTAGTGAGTCCGCCAGATCAGAGGCAGTAGGGATGACCAGGGATGTGTGTGAATTGGACCATTTTCTGTCCAGCTAAGCATTCAAAATGTAACGAGTACTTTTGGGTGTCAGGGAAAATGTATGGAGTAAAAAGTACATTTTTTTTTTTAGGAATGTAGTAAAGTAAAATTTGACAAAAATATAAATAGTACAGTACAGATACCCCCCAAAAACTACTTAAGTTGTACTTTAAAGTATTTTTATGTAAGTACTTTACACCATATAGGTTAAACGGTATATATATATATAAACAAGTTTGAAGTAGCCTAATGGTCATTTACGACTCGAGTCATTTAATTAATTGTATGTCCCACTTAGAATAAACCATAACTGAAGCCTTCACAAACCCTTTATACTAACTAGTCTATAGGCTATTATACAATGGGTGGGTCTAATGCTGATTGGTTAAAACCGCATTCCAGCCGGTGTCTATTCCATAAGTTACCACCGGCTAAATCTATGACGTTAAAATGCCTATTTACTCTGTTCCATCTGACCAACATTTAGAACGAACGACTGGGTCGCGTCCATATATACAGAACAAAAAGACTGAACAACTGGCTCTGGCAACTGAACCAATATAAATAACGACCAGCTGGCTTGGGTAGCAACCCTAGATTTGTATCGGGACTATATCTTGTGGAAGGATGAAATGGTATGAATAAATTAATCAAAATAACTTTTTTAATGAAAATATGTAAATAATTATTTTAATATGTTGGTAACCCGTTGTATAAAAGTAAAAATGCCCTCAGCCGGTGTTTGGATGATATATTGGCACGGTTTGCTGGCCCTCGACGACCTGTGCAAATATATCCTCCAAACACCGGCTTCTCAGGCACTATCACTTAAATGTACAGACCTTAACCCAACACCTAGCGACCTCAATCATCAAGAGTTTTGGACCGGTTGGGGCTACCCCCCTGAATTCGCTACGTTGGTGTCAGAAGTGGGATGGCGCCCGTGAGGCCATCGGGGAGGCATGTACACATGAGGGACTTGGTCAAGAAAAGCACGGGGACACACTCTCCCGAAGGAAGAGGGTAATGTAGTGCCCTTAACCCAACACTAATTAATCATTTATAAGCAAATGTTAAACCATAGCCTTATAAAGGGTGGCACAGGTTTATGCCACATTTGACAAAGCCACCATTCATGTAATGGCTTTGATTTAATTTGATTTGTGAAGTGGTGCTATAAGCATTTATGAAGCCTTTATAAGTACAAAGTTTTTAATGTTGTGTAGCTGAAACAAGCTACTTCTGTGCTGCTAAGGAACTGACGATGAGGTTTGTGTGGCAGAAAACGATCAGTGTAGTCAGTAAACAAGCTAATGCCACAAATGCTTTGTAACAGGGAAATGTAGCTCACTTTAGTCTGCATAGTTTCTAAACAGGTTTACTGACAATTAGTTAGCCTAGTACTATATGTGGACAATCTGTTGGCACAGTATACGTTGGAAGAGTGTGGAAAGCAGCAAGTTGATAGGGTGCTGGTTCCAATACTTCAGTATGTGGTTTTGCACAGTTATCTTAAACTATCATCTACCACTCACACAATCACAGTATGAACTTGACCTACATGAGGAAGCATTTGTACTGAAGGAACTACTGTGTATCAACAGATAGACCAATACCCTACATGTTTTTCATAACCAACCTGTAGACAAAAGATAACAAAGAATGTCACTCAAGTCATTGTTTTCTCAATATTTTGATACACCTTAATACTGTAGGCTTAATTTGTCAGATTTCCACTCCTCTCTGTATAGAGACTGTATAACTATGTGTGTGCAGTTAGGGTGTGGGAATAGGAAATGTGTCCCAAGAGTAAGCACAGCTGTTTATTTTATTCTGCAGATTAAATAGGATGATAAGGGTAGTAGGGGCCATTTTGTTTACCACCTCCTATAGGCTATTCTAACAGGACCTAACAGGTCTCCATATAGAAAAATACATATTTAAACTATGATGTTTTTGGAGTTGGCACTACAAGAACCACTCATCCGTCGTATGCTGGAAGGGGCAATTGTAACACAGAGGGAATGACAGAGGGAGAGTTAGAAACGCAGACAGAATAAGAGGGGGAGGAAATGAGAAGGAAGCAGAATGAAAAAGATGATAGGAGTCAGATGGATAGACAGACAGAGCTGAGTGTGTTTGTGATAGTGACAGAGGGAGGGAGGAAGAGGCAAATAGGCAAAGAATAGTAAAAGAAGTAGTGAAAGTCAGGTACACGTCAACTATGACAGACAAAATGAGAAAAAAAAATCCAGAAAATCACATTGTAGGATTTTTAATGAATTTATTTCCAAATTATAGTGGAAAATAAGTATTTGGTCAATAACAAAAGTTTCTCAATACTTTGTTATATACCCTTTGTTGGCAATGACGCATGTCAAACGTTTTCTGTAAGTCTTCACAAGGTTTTCACACACTGTTGCTGGTATTTTGGCCCATTCCTCCATGCAGATCTCCTCTAGAGCAGTGATGTTTTGGGGCTGTCGCTGGGCAACACGGACTTTCAACTCCCTCCAAAGATTTTCTATGGGGTTGAGATCTGGAGACTGGCTAGGCCACTCCAGGACCTTGAAATGCTTCTTACGAAGCCACTCCTTCGTTGCCCGGGCGGTGTGTTTGGGATCATTGTCATGCTGAAAGACCCAGCCACGTTTCATCTTCAATGCCCTTGCTGATGGAAGGAGGTTTTCACTCAAAATCTCACGATACATGGCCCCATTCATTCTTTCCTTTACACGGATCAGTCGTCCTGGTCCCTTTGCAGAAAAACAGCCCCAAAGCATGATGTTTCCACCCCCATGCTTCACAGTAGGTATGGTGTTCTTTGGATGCAACTCAGCATTCTTTGTCCTCCAAACACGACGAGTTGAGTTTTTACCAAAAAGTTCTATTGGTTTCATCTGACCATATGACATTCTCCCAATCCTCTTCTGGATCATCCAAATGCACTCTAGCAAACTTCAGGCGGGCCTGGACATGTACTGGCTTAAGCAGGGGGACACGTCTGGCACTGCAGGATTTGAGTCCCTGGCGGCGTAGTGTGTTACTGATGGTAGGCTTTGTTACTTTGGTCCAAGCTCTCTGCAGGTCATTCACTAGGTCCCCCCGTGTGGTTCTGGTATTTTTGCTCACCGTTCTTGTGATCATTTTGACCCCACGGGGTGAGATCTTGCGTGGAGCCCCAGATCGAGGGAGATTATCAGTGGTCTTGTATGTCTTCCATTTCCTAATAATTGCTCCCACAGTTGATTTCTTCAAACCAAGCTGCTTACCTATTGCAGATTCAGTCTTCCCAGCCTGGTGCAGGTCTACAATTTTGTTTCTGGTGTCCTTTGACAGCTCTTTGGTCTTGGCCATAGTGGAGTTTGGAGTGTGACTGTTTGAGGTTGTGGACAGGTGTCTTTTATACTGATAACAAGTTCAAACAGGTGCCATTAATACAGGTAACGAGTGGAGGACAGAGGAGCCTCTTAAAGAAGAAGTTACAGGTCTGTAAGAGCCAGAAATCTTGCTTGTTTGTAGGTGACCAAATACTTATTTTCCACCATAATTTGCAAATAAATTCATTAAAAATCCTACAATGTGATTTTCTGGATAATTTTTTCTCAATTTGTTTGTCATAGTTGACGTGTACCTATGATGAAAATTACAGGCCTCTCTCATCTTTTTAAGTGGGAGAACTTGCACAATTGGTGGCTGACTAAATACTTTTTTCCCCCACTGTATATGTGTGTTTGTGCATAAGAGGGTGGGTGATGATGGGGAAATATATCTAATTAAGCTATAGACCTATGTAAGTCTGTAGACCGTTAACCTTTGGATTATTTGGAATGCTGTTCGTAAGCCTTGAATTGATGTATCACCTTTAAAAAATGACCCGTGTTTCGCAAGTTGAAGTTGCATAATGCAGTCAGTGACATATCACTATTGTAATAATTACACTGTAAGAGGTTAGTTTGCCATTGATAGGTTGGCCAAAAGGACATGACAGAAGCAGAATTAATTTTGAAACATGGACAACTGTGTAGCATTTCTCTGCATTTAACTGAATAATCTACTACAGTGCCTTCAGAAAGTATTCACACCCCTTTACTTTTCCCACATTTTGTTGTGTAAAGCCTGAATATTAAATTGATATTTTTTGGTCACTTGCCTGCACACAATACTCCATAATGTCAAAGTGAAAAAAAAATGTTTCAAATGTTTACAAATTAATAAAAAATGAGAAGCTTAAATGTCGAGTCAATAAATATTCAACCCCTTTGTTATGGCAAGCCTAAATAAGTTAAAGAGTAAAAATGTTCTTAAAAAGTCACACAAGTTACATGGACTCACTCTGTGTGCAATAATAGTGTTGGCATGATTTTTGAATTACTACCTCATCTCTGTACCCCACACATACAATTATCTGTAAGGTCCCTCAGTCAAGCAGTGAATTTCAAACACAGATTCAACCACAAAGACCAGGGCGGTTTTCCAATGCCTCGCAAAGAAGGGCACCTATTGGTAGATAGGTAAAAACATTTTTTTTTTTAAAGCAGACATTGAATATCCCTTTCAGCATGGTGAAGTTATTAATTACACTTTAGATGGTGTATTAATACACCCAGTCACTACAAATATACAGGCGTCTTTCCTAATTCAGTTGCCGGAGAGGAAGGAAACAGATCAGGGATTTCAACATGAGGCCAATGGTGACTTTAAAGCAGTTACAGAGTTTAATGGCTGTGATAGGAGAAAACTGAGGATGGATCTACAACATTGAATTTACTCCACAATACTAACCTAATTGACAGAGTAAAAATAAAGAAGCCTGTACAGAAGCCACTAAAGGAATACTGCAAAACATTTGGCAAAGCAATTATCTTTTAGTCTTGAATACAAAGTGTTATGTTTGTGTCAAATCCAATATAACACATTACTGACTTCCAGTCTCCATATTTTCAAGCATAGTGGTGGCTGCATCATGTTAGGGGTATACAGTCGTGGTAAAAAGTTTTGAGAATGACACAAATACTAATTTTCACAAAGTCTGCTGCCTCAGTTTTGATGATGGCAATTTGCATATACTCCAGAATGTCATGAAGAGTGATCAGATGAATTGCAATTAATTGCAAAGTCCCTCTTTACCATGAAAATGAACTTAATCCCCCCAAAACATTTCCACTGCATTTCAGCCCTGCCACAAAGGACCAGCTGCCATCATGTCAGTGATTCTCTCGTTAACACAGGTGAGAGTGTTGACGAGGACAAGGCTGGAGATCACTCTGTCATGCTGATTGAGTTAGAATAAGAGACTGGAAGCTTTAAAAGGAGGGTGGTGCTTGAAATCATTGTTCTTCCTCTGTTAACCATGGTTACCTGCAAGGAAACACGTGCCGTCATCATTGCTTTGCACAAAAAGGGCTTCACAGGCAAGGATATTGCTGCTAGTAAGATTGCACCTAAATCAACCATTTATCGGATCATCAAGAACTTCAAGGAGAGAGGATCAATTGTTGTGAAGAAGGTGAGACCATTCATGTGTGGGGTTGCTTCTCAGCCAAGGGAGTGGGCTCACTCACAATTTTGCCTAAGAACACAGCCATGAATAAAGAATGGTACCAACACATCCTCCGAGAGCAACTTCTCCCAACCATCCAAGAACAGTTTGGTGACAACCAATGCCTTTTCCAGCATGATGGAGCACCTTGCCAAAAAAGTGATAACTAAGTGGCTCGGGGAACAAAACATTGACATTTTGGGTCCATGGCCAGGAAACTCCCCAGACCTTAATCCCATTGAGAACTTGTGGTCGATTCTCAAGAGGCGGGTGGACAAACAAAAACCCACAAATTCTGACAAACTCCAAGCATTGATTATGCAAGAATGGGCTGCCATCAGTCAGGATGTGGCCCAGAAGTTAATTGACAGCATGCCAGGGCGGATTGCAGAGGTCTTGAAAAGAAGGGTCAACACTGAAAATATTGACTCTTTGCATAAACTAAATGTAATTGTCAATAAAAGCCTTTGACACTTATGGAATGCTTGTAATTATACTTCAGTATACCATAGTAACATCTGACAAAAATATCTCATAACACCGAAGCAGCGAACTTTGTGAAGACCAATACTTGTGTCATTCTCAAAACTTTTGACCACGACTGTACTTGTAATCGTTAAGGACTGGGGAGTTTTTCAGGATACAAAATAAACCGGAATGGAGCTAAACACAGGCAAAATCCTAGAGGAAAAACTGGTTCAGTCTGCTTTCCACCAGACACTGGGAGATGAATTCACCTTTCAGCAGGACAATAACCTAAAACACAAGGCCAAATCTACATTGGAGTTGCTTACCTAGAAGACAGTGAATGTTCCTGGGTGGCCTAGTTACAGTTTTGACTTAAATCTACTTGAAAATCGATGGCAAGACCTGAAAATGGTTGTCTAGCAATGATAAACAACCAATTTGACCGAATAATTTTTTAAAGAATAATGGGCAAATGTTGCATAATCCAGGTGTGGAAAGCTCTTAGAGATTTACCCAGAAAGACTCACAGCTATAATCGCTGCCAAAGGTGCTTCTACAAAGTATTGACTTAGGGGTGTGAATACTTATGTAAATTAGATATTTCTGTATTTAATGTTCAATACATTTGGAATTCAGGCTGTAACACAACAAAATGTGGAATAAGTCAAAGGGTTATACTCCCGGGTGGCGCAGTGGTCTAAGGCACTGCATCGCAGTGCTAGCTGTGCCACTAGAGATCCTGGTTCGAATCCAGGATCCGGGGCGGTGCACAATTGGCCCAGCGTCGTCCAGGGTAGGGTAGGGAATGGCTGGCAGGGATGTAGCTCAGTTGGTAGAGCATGGCGTTTGCAACGCCAGGGTTGTGGGTTCGATTCCCACGGGGGGCCAGTATGAAAAATAAAATAAAAAGACAATGTAAGTCGCTCTGAATAAGAGCGTCTGCTAAATGACTAAAATGTAAATGTAAAATGTTATGAATACTTTCTGAAGGCACTGTATAGGTTACTAGTGATGTAGGTACTAGAGTCATGGAAAATCTGCAAAAATGTTGCCCTCGCCTGAAAGACTGTACTGTATGGACCTGGAGTTCTCTCCACAACCCTGACAGAAACACACCTCTGTGTGTGGAGGCTGTCGGCCGGCTGGTGTGGTAGGAGTGGTAGGAGATGGTGGGTGAGAGTGCAGAGAGAGTGCCCTCTGTTTATAGAAGGCTGTCTGTCTGTGGTGGGGGTGTGGGGGCCCTGCTATGGTTAATAACAGGAGGTTGTGTCCGTAACCCACACCGGGTGGGGTACTGGAAGGGCTGGGAAAGTTTAATGGGGAGTAGGCACTGGTAGGAAAGGTGGGGAGGCACTAGAGGGAGGGGGGCATAGAGTGAGAGGGAAGGATGCCACATCATCGCTGGGCTGCAGGCAGCACACTGGCCACATTGTCTGGTCCTGTTCCCTCCATTCCTTGGAGCCAGCCAGCATCCCGTCACCACTGCCCTGTCCACCCAGCCAGAGACTGTCTCAGTCGGACTCACTCTGAAGGGGCCTATTCACCAAGTCACATTCACAACGGTTCACATAGAAATTTGTTTTTTTATAAACCAGACCTGACTTTCTAGCAGGTTGAATGAAGAATCATGTCTGTTCTACGAAATATACACTACCGGTCAAAAGTTTTAGAACACCTACTCATTCAAAGGGTTTTCTTTATTTTTACTATTTTGTACATTGTAGAATAATAGTGAAGATATCAAAACTATGAAATTACACATGTAGTAACCAAAAAAGTGTTAAACGAATCAAAATATATTTTATATTTGAGATTCTTCAAATAGCCACCCTTTGCCTTGCTGACAGCTTTGCACACTTAGCATTCTCCCAACCAGCTTCATGAGGTAGTCACCTGGAATGCATTTCAATTAACAGGTGTGCCTTCTTAAAAGTTAATTTGTGGAATTTCTTTCGTTCTTAATGCGTTTGAGCCAATCAGTTGTGTTGTGACAAGGTAGGGGGGGGGGGGTATACAGAAGATAGCCCTATTTGGTAAAAGACCAAGTCCATATTATGGCAAGAACAGCTCAAATAAGCAAAGAGAAATGACAGTCCATCATTCCTCTAAGACATGAAGGTCAGTCAATACAGAACATTTCCAGGACTTTGAAAGTTTCTTCAAGTGCAGTCGCAAAAACCATCAAGTGCTATGATGAAACTGGCTCTCATGAGGACCGCCACAGGAATGGAAGACCCAGAGTTACCTCTGCTGCAGAGGATAAGTTCATTAGAGTTACCAGCCTCAGAAATTGCAGCCCAAATAAATGCTTCACAGAGTTCAAGTAACAGACACATCTCAGACTGTGTGAATCAGGCCTTCATGGTCGAATTGCTGCAAAGAAACCACTACGAAAGGACACCAATAAGAAGAAGAGACTTGCTTGGGCCAAGAAACACGAGCAATGGACATTAGACCGGTGGAAATGTGTCCTTTGGTCTGGAGTCCGAATTGGAGATTTTTGGTTCCAACCGCCGTGTCTTTGTGAGACCCGGTGTGGGTGAACGGATGATCTCCGCTTGTGTATTTCATACCGGTGCTTTGCTGGTGACACTGTCTGTGATTTATTTAGAATTCAAGGCACACTTAACCAGCATGGCTACCACAGCATTCTGCAGTGATACGCCATCCCATCTGGTTTGTGCTTAGTGGGACTATCATTTGTTTTTCAACAGGACAATGACCCAACACACCTCCAGGCTGTGTAAGGGCTATTTGACCAAGAAGGAGAATGATGGAGTGCTGCATCAGATGACCTGGCCTCCACAATCCCGACCTCAACCAAATTGAGATGGTTTGGGATGAGTCGGACCGCAGAGTGAAGGAAAAGCAGCTAACGAGTGGTCAGCATATGTGGGAACTCCTTCAAGACTGTTGGAAAAGCATTCCAGGTGAACCTGGTTGAGAGAATGCCAAGAGTGTGCAAAGCTGTCATCAAGGCAAAGGGTGGCTATTTCAAGAATTTCAAATATAAAATATATTTTGATTTGTTTAACACTTTTTTGGTTACTACATGATTCTATATGTGCTATTTCATAGTGTTGATTTCTTCACTATTATTCTACAATGTAGAAAATAGTACAAATAAAGAAAAAACCTTGAATGAGTAGTGTATCTCTCTCTGTAACACTGAATGATGTGAACATTTGATTAAGCCGCTGGCGTATGTAAACTCCCCCTAAAAGAATTTAGTAGAGTCTGTTGGGTTGATATAACCCACTTGAATGGCAAAGCCTTCTACATGTGTTGTACCCTGTTTATCTTCTGTCTGTATATTCAGTTTATTGTGGCAGCACCATTTCACCAAGTCAAATTCCAGTACATGCACATTTATTTGTAGAGTAAAGGTAATTCTGATTAATTCAAGCAATGACAGACGTACTAGGCCTTAAGCAAAACCACGTAATCTATTGCAAGTCACCCATAACAAAAATGTTATCATTAATCTAGTCTGCCGTTGGAATGTCTTTCAGGAAAAACTAGATTCAGTTCAGGAGGCGTACTCCGTATCATACCTGAAACTAAATGAAATGGATGATATGGTATGTTTGGCATGAGATACCTTATGTGGACCAATGGGAGAAAAGAAGTGAGATGCATATGGACAAGATAATATCACACAGGAACTGAGCAAAGCGAATGGCTAAACACGAGGACTCATTCCTTATCATGTGTTACTGTATTCCATCTCCAACTGCCTCAGAGAATATTCCACATTATTTCAGCATTTGTATGTAGCCTACTGTAGTTAGTCAAATGTAAATGAGAATGTTTGTGAAAGAAGGGAAATACTGTAAAGTTCTGCATCTTCTTACCCTGAAAAGTTGAAGTTGTACTAAATATACTTTTGAGAGCAGAATGTGGGTGTGCATCATCTCTGAGTCAGAGACCCCATTGATGTCATAACATGGGACTGGGGAGGTGTCCAAAGGGTGGTGTCATTATACTTTTTTTAAATCCTGAGAGCGACGTCAAAAGCTGATGAGTTTTGCTCAGTAAAAATTAAAGAGGAACAATGTAGACTAGAGCATTACTCGTCAGCACAAGTCACTCATTTCCTACCATGTCTTCTTCTGCTTTGATTTCAGGATCTGAACAGATCCACCAATGTAGTGTTCCAGGCCCACCATGTGACCCGGAGCAAGAGAGGTCAGGTGGTGGGCACCAGAGGAGGCTTCAGGGGCTGCACCGTCTGGCTCACAGGTAAACCGCTCACCATAGCCAATACTCAATGGATTGTCACTATTACATGTTGCTATTACAGTAATGTGTTACTAGTGACTGTAGTGATAATGATACTGTTGAGTATTGGCTAATCTCACCTGTACATTCTCCATGTGTCCACCGCCAGGTTTGTCTGGTGCTGGGAAGACTACCATAGCCTTTGCCCTGGAGGAGTACCTGGTGTCCCACGGCATCCCCTGCTACTCACTAGACGGGGACAACATCCGCCACGGCCTCAACAAGAACCTGGGCTTCACAGCCATCGACCGTGAGGAGAACATCCGACGTATTGCTGAGGTGGCCAAGTTGTTCGCAGACGCTGGCCTCGTCTGCATCACCAGCTTCATCTCTCCTTACACCAAGGTCAGGGGTCATTCTCGGGAGTGTCTGTCTACCCATTTCTGTTGGTATTGGTGGTATTGTCTTGTGTAGAGTGTTCTGGTGCAAAATGGATGCCGTATATCTAGTATACTGTGTGTTACGATTGACAAGACAGCATTCTGACAATCCTGTTCCCCCTCCTCTTTTGTCTAAAGGATCGTGATGATGCGAGGAAGATCCTAGAGAGTGCTGGGTTACCCTTCTTTGAGGTGTTCATCAATGCTCCTCTGGAGGTGTGTGAGAGTCGCGATGTGAAGGGCCTCTACAAGAAAGCCCGTGCTGGAGAGATCAAAGGTACACACTTTTGGTCCTTTGTTTACATTTTGGTATCCATACATCGAAATGTAACTTCTTATTATAAGGGAAAGAACATCAAATTCCCTCTATGGGTTCCATTTCTATCTGAAAGAGTCAATCAAACATCCTTTTAGAAAGGGAATTCTAATGGATCTACCTGTGTTCTCAGGCTTCACTGGGATCGATGCAGAGTACGAGCGGCCCGAGGCTCCGGAGTTGGTGCTGAAAACAGGAGAGATCACCGTGAACGAGTGCATCCGGCAGGTTGTGGACCTGCTTAGAGAGCAGGTGAACATGACAGACAGCTCACCTTTTTTACCCGCTCGTCTAGCTCTAAACTAGAAAAAAAGTCAAGCGTATGTAATGGAATTGACACCAAACCTAGCTTATAACAAACATATCAAGACAAAACAAAACGTATCATAAGGGCTTGAAAAAAACGACCAAAGTGATAACTGCAAATGCATACAAACCACCTGTCATGTTATCTTCATATGACATTGTCTTCTCTCTCTGTAATTGTTCAGAGTATTGTTCCAAGTGGAATCACAGAGGAGGTGAATGAACTATTTGTTCCGGAGAACAAGCTGAAGCTGGTTCAGGCCGACGCTGTCACACTTCCCACAATCAGCATCACCAAGGTAACAACATACCTCTCCACTACCAATCCACATGTTCTTTATGACTACCCAAATGACCATGGGTCAATATTTGACTGGATGGCAGGCTGTGCTCACAATCTCTCTCTTTTGGATTGTACTATATGTTCTAATGGACTGGGCTGATTGCCCAATGTTTGAAAATCAATTAAAGTCAAACATAGTAGATATGCTGCTACAGTATTTGCATTGTATGTGATATGATTTATGGTTGAATTACTGTGATAGGTAAACCCTAGTATCCTGATAAGTGGAGTTATTAGTACAACGCTACTTACTGTATTGTGGTAAAACTGTAATAAATATGTGCATTTGGAAACTAAAACTGTATGAACCACCATGAAGCATGGAGGTACAGTATATCACATGAAATTGGTTTGATGGAAAGTCTTACTTTACTATCTCTGTTTCTTCATGAACTGTTTCTCATTCAGCATGGTTTCGTGTGGACTCTGCCACCCCTGATACCAGCCAATATCTCTAACATATCAGCTGTTAAGGGAAATTATTAACGGTCAGTAAGTTAAATCCCTACCCGTTTGATGTATATTACCCCCGGTCTGTCCTGTTCAGTTGGACCTCCAGTGGGTGCAGGTGCTGGCCGAAGGCTGGGCTACCCCACTGAAAGGCTTCATGAGGGAGAGGGAGTTCCTCCAGGTGCAGCATTTCGGCAACCTCCTCGACGGTAAGAACCACACACACACCCTTATAATACATCATAACATTACTCAGCCAATTCTTATTCTCCCCTCTTCATAATGGAGTGAGTGACAGTGGATGGATGTTATATAAAGTTGTCTCTAATTGTTATCCTGACCATGTGACTATAGGCAATAACCATGGTCCTGAGTTTCCCTTGGTAGGTTCACATGGTCAGCACAAACTCCTGGCCCTATCATCACACACATTTATCTTTCCCTGGTTCAGATGGAACCATCAACCAGTCTATTCCCATTGTCCTGCCTGTTACCACGGAAACCAAGCAGAGGCTGGACGGCTGTGCGGCGGTAGCTCTGGAGTTCCAGGGAACCCGCGTGGCCATTCTAAGACGGCCAGAGTTCTACGAACACCGCAAAGAGGAGCGCTGTGCCCGTCAGTGGGGCACCACCTGCCCCCAGCACCCCTACATTAAGGTTATAACCAACCACACATGTCCATGCATAGTTGTTTAGCAAACATAGATGTCCTTTGATGTGTTAAAGCAACACTCTGTGCACACTCTTGTGCATACCAATTCCAAGCTATAATGGAGTTTAATGAAGTTGCACTTGAACATATCCATCACATATCCATCGCATGAAATATATTGATATTATGTCATTCATATCTCTACAACATCCACACTCTTTTACAGATGGTGATGGAGGGAGGTGATTGGCTCGTGGGTGGCGACCTGGAGGTGCTGGAGCGAATCAGATGGAACGATGGGCTGGACCAGTACCGCTTTACTCCACGGGAGCTCAAGCAGAAGTTTAAAGAAATGAAAGCAGGTTAGAAGAGTTCCTCTAAAGGCAGTACAAATATACAGTACATGGCATATTGCACAAAATATACATTTGAGTAGGCCTTTACACTCGTACCCGTATACGGGTTGAAAATGGCAGATTTGGCACTGATAAGCGTCTAAATTGGAACACAGTGGCTGTACAGTAACATGCTATAAATGATGTCAGAGCTCAGGTTCTGCGCTTCACAGCGCTGTATGGGTTTGACTGACAGCCGTTCTGAACTTGAGCACTTCGCGCGACAAGAAGTTGCCCCCATCCCTCCCGCTAATTGGGCAACCTTTGCACATTTTTGGTTGTCTGAGTGAGGAAAATGCTGTAAATGAAGATGACTCAATGTGTTTTCAAAGATGAGACTTTGAGGATTATAATAAATACCGCTTTGATGTCATACAAGCAAGCCAAACACCCATTAGAATTGCATTGTGAAAGCCTAACACTGTAATATCGTATTTTATAACTTAGCTAGTCATGCTAGCAATAGAACAGGCTTTCAAATGATGCCCACCTGTCCCAGATTGCGATTTTTAATGGACTGTTTTTGGATTGCTTAAACAACAACAGTAATTATGTGATGGTGGGGATGCAGGGTTGTTTTCCAAACAAAACAACTACAAGTGTGCTTGCTCTAGTTCCTCAATAGCAGAGCTAGGAGAGCTAAAAAACAACAACATTATAGTTAAAGACTCTTCTTTGAGTCATAAAAGCGCATTGAAATTTCTTAGGAACTGTGCACACTTTGGAGAGGTGTGTGGCCACTTGGAGACACCAGTTAGTCCTCTCACTCAAACTCTTTACATTGTTTTGTCTTATGTTGCACATACCCCACATTTTCCAGGAATATTCTTATCATGTTACTGAATATATCCAGAGTATTTTCAGTTTTCGTTATCAACAAATGCGGTGAAAAGTACAGTAAATGTAAAATGCACATAAAATCAACTGTGTAATGTTTGGATTCAGTCTTGTGTCAGGTGAACAGTTGTGTCCTCACCTTTGGTCTAATAATGTCCCATAATCTCCAAACTGTCATTCAATTGCTACCGTGGTTATGCATATACTTTTCATATTTATTCTGTGAAAAAAACATTCAATTTAGCCCAATCCGTATAGGCCAAGTGTAAAGGGTTAAAGATTAAGTCTAAATAAATGAAGGTTTATGTTTAGCTACAGAGGACCAGATGCAAAATGGTACTAGCATCCATGCTACTTTTTGCATCTGGTCCTTGTCAAATGCTTCTGAAAAAAACAATACATTTATATGTGCATGGTAGAATTTCTTGTTTGCACTAGATGGAGACATATTCCTCTGTGTGAGACGTTGAGGACTGTTTCGTCATGAGTCAACTGTTGTGCGTACATTTTCACCACCTATGATATCTGCAATCACAATGGTGTTGACCACCAGATGCCATCTTCGCCTTCCAACTGCGGAACCCGGTCCACAACGGCCATGCCCTGTTGATGCAGGACACCAAGCGCCGTCTCCTGGAGCGGGGCTACAAGCGACCCGTCCTCTTGCTGCACCCGCTGGGGGGCTGGACCAAAGACGACGACGTGCCCCTGGACTGGCGCATGAAACAGCACGCTGCAGTACTGGAGGAGGGGGTACTGGACCCCAGCAGCACCATAGTGGCTATTTTCCCCTCCCCCATGATGTACGCTGGACCCACTGAGGTATGGGTCAAAAACACAGCCATCAACACATTCATAGTTTTTGTGTGTTTAGCAGGGGATATGATGCAGTATTTAGTCAGTTACAGTACTTAAACCCCCATTTGGCTAGGCAGATGATGTCACTGTAGGGCTGTGAATACCCTATTGTGTTAGTCCATCCACTAAGGATAACAGATTTAAGACCATAATGTGCGTGATTATGTGTGAGCATACATTTCTTTTTCCCTCAGGTCCAGTGGCACTGCAGGGCGCGGATGATCGCCGGAGCTAACTTCTACATTGTGGGCCGTGACCCAGCGGGCATGCCCCATCCCGAGACCAAGCAGGACATTTATGAGCCCACCCATGGGGGTAAGGTCCTCACCATGGCCCCAGGCCTCACCTCTGTAGAGATCATCCCCTTCAGAGTGGCCGCCTACAACAAGACCAAGAGGGCCATGGATTTCTACGACAAGGACCGGTGAGTGGAATGTGAAAGATTGATTATGGCTTTTGTAATGCATATTTACAGATTATTTTATACAGAGCCTGTGGTGGGAAATGTGGGTCAAAGAACCTTCAAAAGCAGACACTGCTGATCATTTTCCTTCTGTCTCTCTCTTTATCTCATCTCCATCCATCTCGCTTCCCCTCCTCTGCCTTTCACAGACACGCTGAGTTTGAGTTCATCTCGGGCACCAGGATGAGGAAGCTGGCGCGGTGCGGGGAGAACCCCCCAGATGGCTTCATGGCCCCCAAGGCCTGGAAGGTCCTGACTGAGTACTACAGCTCCCTACAGAAGGACCAGTAACCCAAACACCCAAGCTCTTAGAAGGGCAACAACTCTAGTCCTCGAGGAATGTTCTAGTTTGATGTTATCTGTAAGTCAGAGGTTTCATTTCATTATCCCGGTAGATGATTCAGTGAGTAAGGAATCCATTAATGACTGAAATCAAGTGAGACCAAGCAGTCCTGGAGGATTGGAGTTGTGTGCCTATCTTCATTGAAGGAAAACCATGTGATGTTGGAGGAGCTAGTGGTTGGGTTTAAGCAGTGAAAACATTCCTATGTTTGTCTATGTATGTGTAAGTCCATATATTTAAAGAAATTGTATACATATATGAGATATATTTAATCTCTAGAGACTAACATGTATTCCATGATTTTAAAATGTCCCCCACTCTTCTTATTTTGTGAGATCATTAAACAGGAGGTTATTGATCGCTTTACCTCCCAAAAGCATTTTTGGATATTTAAAGATATGTGCCATTTATGATGATGCAGTAAATAAGTTGCAGGTGAGATTTAATTACATTTTAGAATATCACAACCTGCCTATTTGTATTCCAGATGATTGATTTATTATTGTTATTAGATTTTTTTTTTCTTCATATTTTTAAACAAAGCTTTTCATCTTCCAAACATAAGTGCCTTTTCTTCAGAATGTAAACACTGTTTAACGACTGTACTGTATAAAATGTCCCTTTCATGTTTCTAAGAAGTTTGATATGAAGAACCATAAAGAGTGTTATGATCATCAATAACTCTTGAATGAAAAATGTAAGCCAACTGTAAAGTCTATGTGAAGATTCAAAATGTCAGTGGAGAAATTGTGTGAAGAATGACATTTTATAGAAAACTAAGAAAAACTGTATTTATTGCATCAAACCAGAAAACTGTCTCAAATGGAATATTGTTTAAACAATTTATATGTCCATCCATGAATGTATCAAACAAGATTTTAAATAAATATTTTCTTCTCAACAAAATCACAATCTGGATTTCCCCATTCCAGAAACAACTTGATTTTATTTACAAGGTGTTAGTCAATCAGATAAAGATGAAAGGTTGGTACTGACTTTTGGATTCATAGAGCCTTTTTCTCTGCCGAGTACAAGACTGAAACTGCAACACTGCCCTCTGCTGGCAGGAGATTGTAATGCAAATAGTTCAGCATTTTACATTATGGCTCTTTTCAAGTTTTGTGATTTGAATTGGACATTGACTCTTCGGGGTGCCTTAAAAATAAAGGGTGGGACCAAATGTAACATTGACAATGCTTATGGGGATGTCAAATTTAATATTGGCTTATGGGGGTGTGCTGATAGGAGTACCCATCTATCACATGTAGAGACCACATGCAGTGAGCTATAAAAGTATTGGGACAGTGACACATTTTTTGTTTGTTTTGGCTCTGTACTCCAGCACTTTGGATTTTAAATGATACAATGACTACAAGGTTAAATTGCAGACTGTCAGCTTTAATTTGAGGGTATTTTCATCCATATCGGGTGAACCGTTTAGAAATTACAGCACTTTTTGTACATAGTCCCCCCATTTTAGGGGAACAAAAGTATTGGGACATTTTCACTTATGTGTATTCAATTAGTTAAAAGTTAAGTATTTGGTTGCATATTCATAGTACGCAATGACTACATCAAGTTTGTGACTACAAATTTGTTGGATGCATTTGCTATTTGTTTTTGTTGAGTTTCAGATTATTTTGTGCCCAATAGAAATGAATGGTATATAATGTATTGTGTCATTTTGGAGTCACTTTTATCGTAAATAAGAATAGAATATGTTTGTAAACACTTCTACATTAATGTGGATGCTACCATGATTATGGATAATCCTGACTGAATCGTGAATAATGATGAGTGAGAAAGTTACAGATGCACAAATATCATAGCCCTCCTCCCAAAATGCTAACCTCTCCTGTTATTGTAATGAGGAGAGGTTAGCATGTCTTGGGGGTATAATATTTGTGCGTCTGTAACTTTCTCACGCATCATACTATGGGCCCGTGAACACAGGTAATTTGTTTCTTGCTTATAGTGAGGAAAAAAAGTATTTGATCCCCTGCTGATTTTGTACGTTTGCCCACTGACAAAGAAATGATCAGTCTATAATTTTAATGGTAGGTTTATTTGAACAGTGAGAGACAGAATAACAACAACAAAATCCAGAAAAACACATGTCAAAAATTTTATACATTGATTTGCATTTTAATGAGGGAAATAAGTATTTGACCCCTCTGCAAAACATGACTTAGTACTTGGTGGCAAAACCCTTGTTGGCATAGGTCAGACGTTTCTTGTAGTTGGCCACCAGGTTTGCACACATCTCAGGAGGGATTTTGTCCCACTCCTCTTTGCAGATCTTCTCCAAGTCATTAAGGTTTCGAGGCTGACGTTTGGCAACTCAAACCTTCAGCTCCCTCCACAGATTTCCTATGGGATTAAGGTCTGGAGACTGGCTAGGCCACTCCAGGACCTTAATGTGCTTCTTCTTGAGCCACTCCTTTGTTGCCTTGGCCGTGTGTTTTGGGTCATTGTCATGCTGGAATACCCATCCACGACCCATTTTCAATGCCCTGGCTGAGGGAAGGAGGTTCTCACCAAAGATTTGACGGTACATGGCCCCGTCCATCGTACCTTTGATGCAGTGAAGTTGTCCTGTCCCCTTAGCAGAAAAACATCCCCAAAGCATAATGTTTCCACCTCCATGTTTGATGGTGGGGATGGTGTTCTTGGGGTCATAGGCAGCATTCCTCCTCCTCCAAACACGGCGAGTTGAGTTGATGCCAAAGAGCTCCATTTTGGTCTCATCTGATCACAACACTTTCACCCAGCTTTCCTCTGAATCATTCAGATGTTCATTGGCAAACTTCAGACCGCCCTGTATATGTGCTTTCTTGAGCAGGGGGACCTTGCGGGCGCTGCAGGATTTCAGTCCATCACGGGATGATTCCTCACCGTTCTCATGATCATTGCAACTCCACGAGGTGAGTTCTTGCATGGAGCCCCAGGCTGAGGGAGATTGACAGTCATTTTGTGTTTCTTCCATTTGCGAATAATCGCACCAACTGTTGTCACATTCTCACCAAGCTGCTTGGCGATGGTCTTGTAGCCCATTCCAGCCTTGTGTAGGTCTACAATCTTGTCCCTGACATCCTTGGAGAGCTCTTTGGTCTTGGCCATGGTGGAGAGTTTGGAATCTGATTGATTGATTGCTTCTGTGGACAGGTGTCTTTTATACAGGTAACAAGCTGAGATTAGGAGCACTCCCTTTAAGAGTGTGCTCCTAATCTCAGCTCGGTACCTGTATAAAAGACACCTGGGAGCCAGAAATCTTTCTGATTGAGAGGGGGTCAAATACTTATTTCCCTCATTAAAATGCAAATCAATTTATAACATTTTTTACATGCGTTTTTCTGGATTTTGTTGTTGTTATTCTGTCTGTCACTGTTCAAATAAACCTACCATTAAAATTATAGACTGATCATTTCTTTGTCAGTGGGTAAACGTCCAAATCAGCAGGGGATCAAATACTTTTTTCCCTCACTGTATTTACGTGTTATTGTAAGGGATCGGGGGTTGGCTGGGTCTAGACAGAGTCTGACACTTCCCCGATCTACAGAGAGGGGGAGTCATCAGACTCGATCTGGTTCACCTGAGTTCTGAGCACACCTGTCAGTAATTAGTGTAGGATATAAGGTGTGCTCAGAAGTTCAGTCGGTGCGAGGTATTGTTCCATTGTGACTTGCTAAGCGTTTTGTTCCGAGAGAGAGAGAGAGAGAGAGAGAGATTGTTGTTTTTGATTACCCGTGTATCCGACCTGTGCCTTGTTGTTTGACTCCCCGAATTGCTTAATCCTCTACTTGTCTACCCCAGTGATTACAGTTCTCTGATCCTGTGCCTGTGACCTCGACTACGACTAAGCCCGCTCCATTGGTACCTCTGCCTGTTTATGCCTGGCCCGGTTTTGACCACAGCCCGCCCGACCACGATTAAGCTATTCCCTTATCTGTACTCTAATAAAGCATCGCTATTCTGCGATTGGATCTTACCACTCTGTCCGAGTATTCATTACAGAATACCTCGCCATTACCATGGATCCAGCGGAATTACAGAGGCGATGGGAGATACAGGAGAAACGGATGGATGAACTCCTGCAGCCACTCAACGCTGGTGCGGCTGAAGGCACCACCCCGAGCACGGTCAGTCCTCGTCCTACACCTCCGATTTCTCTACCGACTAGGTACGACGGGGAACCTGGCAAATGTCAGGGGTTTCTACTTCAGACGTCCCTGTATATGTCGTATAATCGTACTATGTTTTCCGATGACCGTAGCAGGGTGGATTTCATGATTTCTCTACTAACGGGAAGAGCACTGGATTGGGCTACTGCGCTTTGGGCAGCTGAGGTTCCCGAGTTGAATGCGGAAGTTCAGTTCAAGAGACTGTTCCAGGAGGTGTTCGACCACCCAGTATCTGGGCGTAGTGTGGGAGACCAACTATGCGAACTTCAGCAGGGCCGTCGCACCGTAGCCGACTACGCTTTAGAGTTCCGTACTATAGCAGCCGGTAGCGGATGGAGCGAGACGGCCTTGCTCACCGTTTTCCGAAGAGGGCTGCGCAAAGACGTACAGACTGAGTTGGCTTGTCGAGGAGATATCACTGCGCTACATGAGTTTATCAAAATAGCCATCTCTATTGATAATCTGATAGTGCAACACAAGGTATCCACAGTCCGGGAGCCCTCGATCACTGGTCCTAAGCAATCGACAGAGCGGAGGAGAGAATCTGAGGAGGAACCTATGCAACTGGGACGGTCACCTCTACAAGGGTCGGTGAGACAACAACGTCGGCAAGACGGACTATGCCTGTATTGTGGTCAGTCGGGTCATTTCGTTCGTCAATGTCCGGTACGACCAAACCGTACCCCAGGATATCGCCTCGGAAGTGCCAAACCGGTGAGTGAGACTCCAGTTTTGAACATTACATCTAAACAAATGTATGTGCCAGTTACCTTATCTGTCGGAGAGAAAGTGCGCAGGTTGGAAGGACTTATTGATTCCGGAGCGGCTGCCAGCTTTCTGGATATGGGTCTTGCTGAGGAGTTGGGAGTTCAACTTATCCCAATTCAACCCCCCCATGCGAGTCAACGCGCTAGACGGTGAGCCCATGGGCACTGGGTTCATTACGCACCGTACCGAGGAAATCAAGTTACAAGTGGGCTCCCTGCACCATGAGAACATCATTCTGTTCGTCATCTCCGCTCCACGGGAGCCGCTAGTCCTCGGCCACCCCTGGCTCGTTACCCATGATCCGGTCATCTCCTG